GACGGGGGGGGGGATAGCATCCCAAGCTCTGCCCCAATAGCATCCAATGGACTACCTGAGGCCACGTGTCCCAGGCACAGCACTAGGTCCCAGAGAAGTCAAGATGGGTCAGATGCAGTCAGAATAGCAGAGACCCCTGTGACAAGCTCTGCCAAGCAGGGATGTTCAGGATTCTCCAGAAGAACAGAGAGGGACAGCTCACTGGGATGGGGTAAGGCGGCCATGGCAGTCCAGGAAGATAGAGCCTTGAAGGATGAGGAGGAAGTAGCAAGAGGTGGGGGAGGAGATGGGCATTCCTGGCACTGAAATGCGGGTGCAAAGGCCCAGAGGCAGGAGGTTGCATGACGTATGAACAGAGCCGTCAATCCTCAGGGGGCAGGGGTAGGAGGAGAGGCTGAGACACTGAGGGATAGGCGGCCTGAGTCACAAACTGCCCTGCATGCCAGCCAGGCTCAGAAGCTTTTATCCCGTTGGCAATGAAGACCTATAGAAGGACTTTTAAAAATTTCAGTAAAAGATATATAACTTAAAACTTATCATTTTTTGACCTTTTGACTTTGACCACCTTCACGGCCCGTACTTACTAAGGAGGAACTGCACGCTCCCACCCATGGCCGCCGGTGACCGCTTTTGGACTCTCTGGCTTTGTGCAACTGGCTGTTCTAAGCACCTCGCGTAAGAGGAGTCACACGTTATTTGTCCTTTGGTGACTGGCTTATTTCACACACTCTATGTCCTCAAAGGCTCACCCATGTACAGCATGTGTGTCCACCTTTCATTTTTTTCTTCATTTTTTTCACGGTAAAACAAATGTAACATCAAATGCATCGTCTTAACCATTGGTAAGCAAACAGTTTCCAGTGGTATGAAGCAGGCGCACTTTGCTGAGTGGCCTTCAGCACCATCCAGCTCCGCGGGTCCTCACCTCGCAAAACAGAAACTCCGTGCCCAGTCAACAACAGCTACAGAGGATTTTAAAGGAGACGAGTAACCTAGCTTCATTGGCACGGTTAAAAAGACTCTTCTGAAAGTCCTGTAGAAGACGGATGGGTGTGGGCAGACACTGCAGGCGAGGAGACCGTGGGAGGTGATTATGAAACCCAGGCCCCGGAGAGCAAATCACCCCCATCGCAGGTACCAATTCTGATAGATGGGTCATGGCTGGCTGGGGCTCTGTGTTGAGAAAAAAAGTGCGACAATTGACTAATGATGTCTGGTGTGGGCACAAGAAAGGAAACATCGTGTGAGTGCTAGGGATTTACCAGTCCTGGGCTAAACAGAGTTTTAGGGACCCAGCCTAGGAAGAAAGGGACAGGCCATGTGAGAGGTATTTCCAGAGTAGAAGCAGCAAGACTGAGGGACTTACTTAGGAAAGGGGCTCAGGGACAGGAAGGTGGACTTGTAAAGTTCTGGATGAGGCAACTAACTTACTACCACTCTCTACATTTTTGGAAGATAGGTGGGAGGAAAAATCTGGTTTAGACCTGTGTTTGCGGCACCTGAGGAGTCATTTGGTAAGGTCCAGTGGGCTGAAGGCAGAGGCCCGAGGAACACCAGCACTCAAAGGGGAGCCAGAGAGGGAGGCCAAGAAGCGATGGTCAGGGAAGCAGGAACAGGGCCTTGGGAGAGAGGATGGGGACGTGAGAGAAGTTGGCCATGTAGGACGCTGCGCAGAAAATCACATTCCAGGTCAAGAGTGAAGCAGTCCGATGTTTCCAGGGCCCCTCTCTGTCAACGTGTTCTTTCTAGGCTCTTTCAGAGAATGTTCTGAGAGGAGGGGTATCCCCACTCCTGAGGAAGAGGGGACAGGCCAAGCAGGCTTGGGTAGGCGAGGGTGCTCTGAGGGTCCTGGCAATGATCAGGGTGAGATCACACAGGTGCTCACTTTATAATATAATAATAGAACCTGTATCTTCAGGTTCTGTTCATTCCTTCGTCTACGAGATTTCTGCCACAATTGAGGTCAAAAATAAAAACATGAATTTTAAAACAGGCACAAATGGGACAAGGCCTAGTAGACAAACGCTGCGCTGCCCAGTGTCCCCTTCCAGGGCTGTTTCTGTCCCCTGGGCCAGGTCAGTGGTTTCCCGTTTGGCCATCAGGTGTTCCGGCCACAAATCTCTGCAGACAAGCCTGCGGAGCAAACGAGCTGGGGCTTCATCTTCCCCCTTCCCAGCTCCCTGGGCCATCCCAAACCGCCCCCCGACCCCTGCCGCCGCCATGTGCACTGTTGTCTGTATGCAGCGCTCACCAAACAAGTCACCAAAAGTCCACAAGCCCTGGGGGTGCAGGGCGGGGGGCGCTGCTCCATGTACACAAGCAGAGGGCGAGGACCGTGGAAATCTCCCTCTCATTTGGAAGAGCAGAGCCTAGAGCCCAGAGAGGGCAGCCCACATGCCCAGGCTCCACAGCAGACTGAAAATGGAACCAGAGCTAAACCCAAGGCCTGGCAATCCAGGCTGATCTTCCTCCCACCCACCCCCAAGCTTCTGGAACCCAGGCCTGGAACTGGGGCCTGTCCCCACTGAGAGCCCAGCCCCTGCCCCATAGGTCCCCCGCTCCTGGCCAGCAGCCGCTGCCCCTGCCTCCCGCCACTGGCCACATCCGCCCCATCCTTTCCTTCTCCTTTCCCCCGCCCCCAACCCGACACCCCATCCCAGGCAAAGCCAGCGGGGGTGGGGACCTCGGGTGACGGATGGGCCACGTACTGCTTTCGCCTGTCACACGGGCATACAGAATGGCAGACCTTGGGAACCAGCATTAATACCGAAGATTTATAGTCAAATCTGTCACGGCTGAAGGCACTTCCCCCAAAGTTGGCTCGGACTGAAGGTCGCTTTTCCGAGGTGATAAGTGCAAAAAAGATGTCCTCCCCCGCCCTCCTGGGCCCTCCCCCTCCCAAGCTCAGGCCGCACAGAAGGAATCCGAGAAGAGGAGGCAGGAATGGAACTTCTCCAAAGGAGAGTCTGAGCCCACCACCCCACCCCCGCCCCCACCCTTGCCAGGATCCTACAATGTGCTCAAATGTGGCTGGGGGTGCAGAGGGGGGCCAGAGCATGCTCCGGGGAGATCACTGTGTGCTCAAGAGCCAAGCCAGGTGAGTCACCTCTGCGGTACCCTGGAGGTGATGGCTTGGTGGGGGGAGCGGGGGAGAGAGGGCTGTGCCCAGGAAGGTGACCCTGGTCCAAGGCTGCACAGCTTATACCAGCATCTGACCTCAGGCCCCATCAGAGACCTGGAAGCTGCCCTGAGGGGCCCGGAGGCAACATAAATCACTGCTCCAGGCCTCCTAGTGAGGGCAGAGGTCAAAGTCTATCTGCTCACCAAATATTTACCAAGAACCTCAAAGGATCACAGAGCAAAAGGGCTGAGAGGGCCCTTAGAGACTGATCTGGCCAATGGCCCCATTTTACAGATGGGGAAACTAAGGCTCAAGAAAGAGATGTAAGAGTCTAAGTCTGTTCCTTCATTGGATAATCACTGGCACCACACTGGGGGCTTGGCTCTTAACCTGCCTGCCTACTGTGAGGAGAGCCCTGGACTCTGCGCAAAGTGGGGCACAGGACAGATAAAGAAGAGGCGAGACTTAAGCATTCCCACTGAAGGACAGCGGGGAAGAGTAATGATCACGGCTAATGCATTGGTTCTGCTCACCATCACGATGACTCTGGAGTCACACGTTATTTTCCCCATTTTACCAATGAGGAGACTGAGGCATAGGTCTGACAGCCAATAGTTATCAGAATCCAGGGCCAAGCTTCTGACCACCATGCTCTATTACGTCCCAGGAAAAGGCAACTGACAGACACTGTCATAGACAGGCCTTAATTAGCTGTCAGTGCTTGGCAGGTGAGGGCTAGGCTCTCCGAGAAGGGAAAAGGCTCTTTGGACTGAGGCAGTCTCCGAAGGCTTCCTGGAAGAGGCAGCAGAGACATTAGAATGGAGCCAGAGCCTTCCTAATAGGAAGCCTCCCAGATTCGGGGCTGGCAGGCACACTGTCTAACCCATTCCTGAGACGCTCACCGTTGACCCGACCTGGGAGGCCCCGGGAGGCAGGGCCACAGGCCCTTGGCACAACAAGCTGGCTGGAATGGCTTGGCAGTGCAGGCTGCACTGGCAGCTGGTGCCCAGCAGCACGGAGAGGGGGCGGGGGAGGCAGTGGGTACCAGCGTCCTGGACTCCAGAGCCTGGCACGAGAGTGGCGCCATTCCTGTGTTATAGATGAGCTAAATTAGCTGTGACGCTCATTAGCGGCAGCTCCTAATTAGTGAAAATTAATATTGGCTTTGATAAAGACGTTGGCACCAGTCTCCAACGCGGAGGCATTATCGACCTTGTCAGCAGGGCTAACGACTGGGTAAGTGGAGGCGACAGGGGGCCTGGGAGTGGGCAAAGGGTCACTGGCAGGGGACATAAGGCTCTCCCAGGCACTGTCCCTCTGCAGCTCTCAGCCCTGGGGGCAGGGCCGTGAGCGGTCCCTCCCAGGGCTCACCTGACCCCTCAGCAGTCTCTCCACAGGGGCCCATCCCCACACCAGAGATGCCCCTGGGAGCCCAGGGCAGACCGGTCCTGGCGGCGGCTGGTGCGGGGACTGAGGTGACTTCACCCATAACTACCTTTAATATTGCTTGGCTACAAGGTGCCCCGGGCAGTATATGAAATGTTCTCACATGTATTTAATGTTCCCCAAATCCCTGGAAATAAATCCTTCCATTATTTCCATTTAATAGAAGAGGAAAACTCAGGCCCGGGGCAGGTGAGTAACTTGCCCTGGGACCTATGGGTAACAGGACTTGGACCCAGGCAGTCTGACTTCAGAGCCATGCTCCCACCCTCGACCTCAGCCCCAGAGGAGACAACCGGAAGCCAGCACACGACAATGCACCCAGCATTTAACACCATATCCGGCGCACAGGGGGTAAGCAACACACACGTATGAATGAACAAATGAATAAGCAGAGGGAGCTCTTAGTTCTGCCAGGGTGCTTATATTTACTTACCTGTTACATCTTCTTCCTCGATCTATTTAGTGCTATGGAGAATCTGAATTTCAACTTGGGATCACTGAGACGTTTCGCCTGAACCTGCCCAGGACCATCTCCAGACTCTGCATCCTAGAACGCTGCCTCTGTGCGGGGGCTGGTGTGTGTTGGGGGGACACAGGGGACACCCCTGCTTCCCAGGCAGTGACTAGAAGCCTCGAGGCCTCAGCGTGCCCAGGCCCCAGCTAGGCGTTGCCAAGTGACCAGCTCTGGGACCTGGTCCCTCAGGCCCCCTGGGAGGTGACTCGGCAGATATGGCTTCCCTTCACCCACGTCCCTGCTCCCCAGCCAGGGATCCTGAGGCCCTCCCAGGGTAATGAGGGGAAGTAACAGATACATCTATTTTTAATCCAAATAAAGGAAAAATGTTTGCCACCATGGAGCTTATAAAAATAACAATGCATTATTCAGGCATTAATAACAATAAAGATGTCAAACTGTCAGATAAGAAGTTAATCTCATTGGAGCACAATTAAAGATGCTATTATCCCACCACCTGGGGCCACTTTGGCTTTTACCACTCAGCAGGCTTAACAGATAAAGGGGGCCACGCCAAGCACACGGGAGGCATTGGTCCTGCGGCTGGCTCCTGCTTGACCCGGCGCTGAGCCACCCCTTTCATGACCCCTGCACAAGGACACAGGCCCCGCTCAGCTGTGCAGGACCTGGCAGGAACTTCAGGGCCAAAGGATAGGGCCAGGACCAGCTGGGGCCTGGGCCTGCATGCCTGCCATTCACCGAGCGTTCCCAGGATGAAGGATTCCTAAGCCGGTCCTCGGTGAAGGCAGAGGGGCCCCTGCTCTCAAGTCCCTGCAGGGTGACAGGGACCAGCCAGGAGGACAGAGCACTGTTAGTGTGGAGGAGAGAGGAAATGCAGTGTGAAGAATCGGTTACACAGTGACAGAGGATGTTGCAGTAACCCAGAGATCAACAACAGCAGGAAGCCACCCCTGCCGGCCCTGCATGGGCAGAACAAGGGAGGAAGTGATGTTTCCAAAGCTGAGGGGCCGTGGTCACCTGGTGGGAGCTGGAGCCACTGTCCAAGGGAGAGTAACGGGGACAAATACCCTGGCATCTCCCTTCTTCCCGCTGTCCAGTCTCCTGCCACGGCCTCCCGTTGGCTAAATCAGATGGGAGCAGGCTGGCCTGGGAGTCTGGGTAAGGCAGCCCACAGGGTCAGCTCCCTGCAGTTCCGAGCAGAGCTGGAGAAGGCCAAGAATGGATCCAAGGCCAAAAAGTCAGGGTCCAGCCCTGAAATTTAATCCCCCAGGGTTCACTGAGCACAGATGCCGCTCCACGCACACCTGTGCGTGGGGGGGATACAACATGCATCAGAAGTCGCATCGGCCCTCCGGTTACTGCCCAGTGGAGGAAATAAACAAAGATCATTTCCAAGTACTATGACAGGTGCCAGGCTGTATTACAGGCCATGAGAGGCCCGAGGACAGACTACAAAGGAGGAAGTCCAGGAAGGCTTCCTGGAAGAGACATAGCTACGTTGGGGGATGGGTGAAGGAAAGGAAAGAGGAGAGGAAACCGAGGAAGGGTGCGCGGGGCAACAGGAACTCTGCAAACAAGGCACGGAGGCAGGAAACAGCGGAGTGTGGGCAGGATTCGTGACAAGCACAGCTGCCCCTGGCCTCCTCCTGGGGCTGCCAGGGCACAGCTGGGTACGTACTCTGCATTTTGGTGTTCGGGACGCAGCTGGGCTCCAGAAGGTGATTTGAGTATCACAGGTTTGGGGGTGATCATGGGACGAATGGAGAGGGAGGTCCCCCCACGGAGAGCATGTGAAGGAGGGCAACGGGCACATTCCTAGGAAGCACTACAGTTAGGTGGATGGAGACCAAGAAGGAGCCGTCCCAGAGGTAGGAGAGAAGCAGGGGCCGAAGAGCAGTGAGTTTGGTCTGAGTACCCACAAGGTCAAATACAGCAGAGAGTCTGGGAGGTAAGGTCTGAAAACCACCTGCTGGGCTGGGCAAGCGCAAGGGCAAGACCACTGGCTGGCCTTAGTGTGAGCCCCATCAGTGATGTGTGGGAGCTGCAGCAGGGCTGCAAAGGGCAGGGGGTAAACGAGGGCCTGAGGTCAAGAGCAAGCAAGTGTAGCCCACCACGTCAAAGAGCCTGGCTGCCCAGCACATACAATTACAACTGCGGCTCTCCACAAGACACTTGGTGCTAAGAGAATGGAGACAAGCCACGGCCTGGGAGCAAATATTTGCAAATCATACATCTGATACAAGACCCCCATCCAGAATATATAAAGGACTCCCAAAATGCAATAATAAGAAAACTTGTTTTTCAAAAATGGCCAAAAGAGTTGAATAATCGCTTCACCAGAGTAGCACATGAAGCAATGCTCACCATCATTAGTTATTAGGAAAATGCATATTAAAACCACAATGAGCAACCACCACACACCTACTAGAATGACTAAGATAAAAAACGCCTCCCATAATGGAGGTTACTGGAGGCTGGAAGGAGGGGAGAATGGAGAATTACGGTTTAATGGGAACAGAATTTCTGTTTGTGGTGTTGAGAATGTTCTGGAAACAGTGGTGATGGTTGCACAACACTGAATTACTTACTGCCACTGAATTAGTACACTTAAACATGGTTAAGATGGGTAAATTTTGTTATGTGTATTTCGCCACCACTAAAAAATAAATAAATAGGGCGCCTGGGTGGCTCAGTGAGTTAAGCGGCTGCCTTCAGCTCAGGTCATGATCTCAGGGTCCTGGGATTGAGCCCCACATCAGGCTCCCTGCTCAGGGAGCCTGCTTCTCCCTCTCCCACCCCACTGCTTGTGTTCCCTCTCTAGCTGTCTCTCTCTGTCAAATAAATAAATAAAATCTTAAAAAAATAAATAAATAAATAAAAAGACCTCCCCATGCCAAGTGCTGGAGATTGGAGCAGCTGGGACTCGTGCACACTGCTGATGGGTGTGTGTGTGTGTGTGTGTGTGTGTGTGTGTGTGTGTGTGTGTGTGGAATGGTACAATCACTCTGAGAAACAGTTCGGCAGCTTCTCGGGAAGTTAAACACACACACGACCCAGCCATCCCACTCCCAAATGTTTTCCCAAGAGAAATAAAAGCGTATGTTCATCCAGAGCACACAGATTTCATGGCAGCCTTATTTGGAAAAGTTGCATACCGGAAACCACCAAGATGTCCAGCGATAGGTGAATGGAGAGAGACATTGCAGTGTATCTTTACAATGGAACACGACTCATTGCCACAGAGGAATGCACCGTGGATGTGTGCGACAGTTCGAATGGATCAGCGATGCCGGTAGACAGAAGACAGACAAAAAGACTACACGTGGTGTGAGTCCATTCACAGAAAATTCTGGAAGATGTAAACTAATCTTTAGTGACAGGCGTAGGTCACTGGTTTCCCGGGAGTGGTTACCAGGGTAAGGGGAGGGTGCAGAGGAAGGATTTCAAAGGGGTGAGAGGAAACTTTTGGGGTGATGGATATGTTCACTCTCTTGACGGTGGTCATGGTTTCAAGGGCAGATAACATACCTCAAAATGATCAGTTATACACTTGAAATGGTGTTGTTTTTCATTTATGTCAATTATCCCTTAACAATGTTATAGAAAAGTTTGTTTTTCTAAAGGCGCCTAGGTACAAAAAAGGAAGGAGAGTTGGTGGAGGGAGACACTGGGTCCAGGAGGGCTGTGTTTCCGGATGGAAGGGACATGAGTCTGCTTTGGGGTTCCTGGGGGCTGCTGGCTTTCCTCAGGCCCACAGAGAAGCACCTTGAGAGCCAGTGTGAGGGGAGAGGGAGTCCTGAAGGCCGAGGGCAGCCTCTGTGAGGACTGTTGAGGAGGAAGATGTTCTGGGAGGGTGAGGAGGAGAGGCTGAGCACCCAGTTGTCTGCCTCCCTGCCTCCCTCCCGCCTGCCCCCGCGCAGAGGCTTGTGGCAACTCTGTAGGGAACCAGTGTTCCAGGTAAGAGAAACAAAAACCACCATTAACAAGGGAAGGTGTGGGAATGCCCCGAACAGGGGGCTCCCGGGCTCCCGGAAGCCACCGGCAAAGGAAACCGCCTCCAGGGGTGGATCAGGGAGGGCTTTGTGGAGGAGAGCCTTGCAGGGACGACATGAACTGAAAAGCACAGGATAAGTGCAGTCCCACTACGCTGCACAAACTGACGCCCCCTGGACCTGTGGGACACAACAGCCCAGAGAGCACGGAGGGGGATGACGACAGATCTTTTGAGGGGAACCAAGGAGCCACACGGGCCAGAAGGGTCGTGAATCCAATCACAGATGGCCTGGTCTGGTAGACCGAGGGGCCTGGGATTGATGTGTGGGCAGTGGGAGCCATTGATGGTTGTGGTACTGAAGAATGACATCACAAGAGCAATGCTTCAAAGACTCTGCATTTATCATGCTCAAAGACCTACAACAGCTCACCATTACCTAGGCTCCAGGCCAAGTAATGAGGATCTGGCCTCAGGGCCTGCACAGTGGGGCCATGCCTTTTCACACCATCTTTTCTGCCATGACTCCCTCCCTCAAGCCCCTCTCCTGCAATTGGACCAGCTGACTCACTCTCCTCCGGGCACAGGAGGCCACTCTGTGGTCTCTCTCAGCTGACTCTGCTTACAGTATCCCCCCACCCAAATGCCATCGTTTCTCCTCTAAGCTAAAGATCTATCCACCCTGACATTCATTCACTCATTCATTTATTAAATGCCTTTTGAAGTCTCATTCTGTCCCATGCCCCCAACTATGCACCAGGGACCCCGCACTGAAGAACAAAGTCCCTGCCTTTATGGAGCCAGATGTGGGGGTGGGGAGGGTGGAGGCAGACAATAAACACACAAACAATGAATACTTTTGGATGTTAGGTATCAAGAGGTAAACAAAACAGGGTAATGGGAGAAAGGGAAGGGAGATAGGTGTGGGCCATATTAGAGATGGTGGTCAGCAAAGCCTTCCAGAGAAATGAGCAATGAGGAGGTCCCAGTTTTTGCAATCTCTCTATGAAGACCCAGGGTAAGAGTGTTCCAGATGGAGGGAGCAGCAAGTGCAAAGA